TAATTTATTATTATCCGCTGTAAACAATGTCTTGCAGTCAAGCTCATTGTACATCACAGATGTTTACTCGTTCATTTATTTGTCACAAAAAAGAAACAGCAAGGAACAGCACAAACAAAGATGAGACAGGACACACCAAAAGTGAACTTTTAAAGTTGGGGTCCTTTACAGAAAGCAAATACTTACAATAAAGTAAATATTTAACATTCAAAGTTAAAATATTCCTCAAGCCCATGTACCTACTTCGGTATTTCATATCACCCTAATAATTTTGAGTCTAGAATATCATAAGAATCAACTTCTAAATGTTATTATTATTTGTTTAATTATTTGTTTAATACATTATTGTTGATGATGATTATGACAATAACGGTGAAAATGATAATATTTTTAAGACAATAAGCAAATCATCTTATTTTTTATAAACGGTTATTTCCCTATATCCATTTCCATTATAATAATATTTGAAATTTTATAATAATGAGTCATTTACCATAGGATCGTGTTTTCTTAATTATTTTAACTTCTTAAAAGATTTTTGTTCAGACATCATCTTTTTATTTTTATTTCTCTATGCTTTTATGAATAAACAATAATATATGGCTTTTGTAAATTAGGCTTTGAAGTTCCAGAGGCAATATTAGCCAGAGGCAGTGAGGCTCTGAAGGTTTTTAACGAGGAATTACAAGAAGGAAGGATCACAGTAAACCATGCACGATTAATGGTGACAGGCAAAGAGGGGGTGGGAAAGACTTGTTTGGTAAACACTCTGCTTGAAAGAACGTAAGTTTCTGAAGTGCTGTATCTGTCAATGGATTTCCAATAAATGTTGCTGTATTGCTGTACTTTTTTATACAAGTATTGTATTTTATTTGCTTTCTATATATTAAAAAAAAAATACAGTATGATGCCACGTAAATATTATGGTTTCAAACATGCATGTACTTAATTGTCATTACCCATATATCCAACAGCATGTTTTGTTGTATATATTGTACTATAGACTGTATGTCGTAATTTATATCGAACACATCCTTTATATTTATATGTTTGACTTCTTAAAATTGTTCATGCGATGTAATATTTAAATGTAGTTTCCTTTCTGACAATAAAGTTATCTTGTATCTACTCTTCCATTTAACCACAACCCAATCATGGCACTTAAATACTACAATATGTACATATATAATTCAACAATTCAAGCAGTAATTACACTGCTCTTTCCACAGATTTAATGAAGAAGAACCATCGACTGATGGAATAGTGTTGACGACTGCTTTTCAAACTACTGATATAAGTAGTGTGTGGAAAGAGGCAGAGGACATGGACGGTATGACAAGAAACAATTTAACTTTAAAATCCTGATTCTCATTTGTGACTCAAGCTTTGATGAATTTCTTTATCTTTTATAGAATGTGAACGGATCAAGGATATACTTGATAATGCATTAGAAAGTAAAGTGGCCGAGAAATTGAAACAAATGAGAAGCCAAGCAGAGGCAGCTGAACCAGTACAAGCATCAGCAGGAAAGTCAACACCTGTACCTCTACTGGTACACGCCCCTAAAAAGGAAAGTCGCAGCAAACCAGGTACATCCTCTACACCTATATTGCCATCTGTGCCTGTTCCAGTTAAGGTAGGACATGACATAGTAATAGTATGTGTGTTCATAGTGTCTTCAACGGATTATGAGATAAATTATTACAACTGTGGGATTTAATAACACGTTTTTAGTAGATTTGCATTTTTTCAGCCTTCATCATTGAGACTCAATGTTTCTCACAGCATGCATTGTTGTTCTTCTGTATATTGCTTTTAAAATATTTCAAGTTAAAATAATTGTGTACACCTCTGTCATTATATACTTCTGGTTAACAATTGATTTGATTTAGTTTAGTTTTAAAATACTGAACAAAACAATGTACTCTGTGTAAACATTCATTTTTTTTCCTGAGCCATCAATTGTTTTTGCCCCAAAAACTTTACTCAGTCAGAAATACAAATATTGTATATCACTGGCGATAGTTTTTCTATCATATTCCTAGTGGGGGACTTCTTTGCAAATTATATGGATGTACACTTTTGCAGTGCTTTCATGCAATAGTATAATAATGCTAAAATATGTTTATTAACCGACTTCATTAAAATATAATACACTATCATTTTTTTATAGAAAAAAATTAAAAAATTAAAATTTCATTATTAAAATTAAAAACAATACAAGTATAATTTCCAAGAATACATAGAATAATAATTGGTAATGAATTTCAAAATCATCTTGTTAGTAATGTTTTCTAATATTTGAAAATAATTACATTCTGTGTCTTTCTAACATGATTTTTAATTAACGGACAAAGGTCAATGAGCCAAGCCAAGCACTGCCATCAGAAAGGCAAAAAAGAATAATTGACAGAATGATTGGAAAGGCCTCTGCATCAACTAGTAATGAGGACATGACTTACATTTGGGACTTTGCTGGCCAGCAGCTCTACTATATTACACATCGAGTAAGTACTCAATTTAGTTGTGTAA